AAATGGAATTTTCTTATTGGTCGAAATTGGTTTACACGGTTTTTTAGAATTGGATGGTTTGCATTTGAACCTGCCCCTATATATATATATATATATGTATATATATATATATATGAAAGGTTCAAACGAGAACATATTCACTTTGTGAGAACGTGAGAACATCCTTGTACTATAGACAATCATATGTGATACTATTATTCTATTACATATGATACACATGTAATACTACATTAGAGACGCGAGGACGATTTTCAATGCGATCTTGGTTGCGGGCCAAGTCACCTTTACACCACTAAGCCCCCTCATAAGTATTATCACATGTGATAAGGGTGTTGTTGATATGATACTATAATCCATCAAGACCATCACATGTGATGCTAAATCATAGACGCAAACAATCTTTGGCGTGACCTAAGTCGTAGAACACGTCGTTCGCATATCACATGGTCCCCTTACGCGTATTGTCACATGTGATAAGAGTGTTCTCACGTTCTTGTAAAATAGAAGTGTTCTCGTTTCAACCTCCACCTATATATATATATATATATATATATAGAGAGAGAGAGAGAGAGAGAGAGAAAGAGAGAGATAGAGAGAGAGAGAAAGAGAGAGATAGAGATAGAGGGGGGGTAAGATCTTTTGTTAATCAATCCAAAAGTGTTACATTTACAAACCTTAATGAACCAATAGAAAATAAGATACATTTTTGGTTGATGCATATGATAAATTTATTTAATGAGTATAAAAATGTAATTTTTTATTTGATATTTCTTTTAATGCAAATTAATTTCCGGTTACATTTCTTAATTATTCCATGTTTTTGTCATTGTGAATATCTCATGCAAATTAATTGTCGGTTACATTTCTTAATTATCCAGGTAAATTAATTATTTGTTACATTTTTTAATTATACCAGAGTAAGCACTTGTTATAAGTGAACCATCTCATTTCAATAGCTAAAAAAGTATTGTGTTCATATGTGAAACACTTTGATCATATATTATCGTGTTCACATGTAAAAGTCAATTATTTTAGTGTTTATAAGTTTTAATAGGTGCAAATAAATGTTCATAAGTGTTACTGTATGTTCATATATGAAAGCCACACATTAAGATTAGTTAATTAGTTACATATATGTTCATATGTATTCATAAGTGTTCATAATGCAACTTCGATGATTTTACGAACTATAAAAGGAATGAGCAATTGTCGATTTATAAGCGGTGTAATTAATTAATTATCGATTTGTAACCGATTTGGACATCTTTCCTAAAAATATCCCTGTTCACCTATGTTTTCATATCCTTCATTTTTAATTGATTACAAATATATCGCAATTGATCTCATCCATAGATTTTAAGAATCAAGGGTCAAAATTGGTTTACAAAATTAACCCCAATTATTGGGTTAACAAAAGAATCAGCCCCTATATATATATATATATATATATATATATATATATATATTTATATACAGGATTAAACAAGAACGATACCTATTTAAAAGGAAACGGACAAATCACGTGCAAATTCACATGCGATTTTACATTAATGGTAAAAAATGTCCAGACGACTTGTGGCTGAATCTTCAGGTCGCCGGGCAAGGTCGCATGAATCACATATGATTTTGTATGTGATATTAGTATAAAATCATATGTGATTCGCCCGTTTTCGTGTTCTTTTAAATAGGTATTGTTCTCATTTGATTCACCATATATATATATATATATATATATATATAAGGTTCAAATGAAAACCATGTCATTCTAAAAAACCGTGTAAACCAAAATTGACCAATAGGAAAATTCCATTCTTTTTTAATTAAATTTAATCAATAAGGGTATTTCGGTCATTTTCATTATATTTTTGATAAATAAGAAAGTTATTAAGGAATATTAAATAAGGAAATTTATTAATGGAAATTATATGAATGGAAAGATTTAAAGATTTTAATATATTATAATATTAAAAATTGATTTTTTTTTTGCTATTCAATGAATCAGGAAAATTTTGTTAAGATTATAGCTTGTTATGGAATGAATTCTAGATTTGAGGTTGGTATAATGAAACTGGTACATAATATTATAATAATGTTCATATGAAAAGGTTTCATAATGATGAAACGGGTGCATAATATATTAGTATGCATAATGAAAA